ATCCTTGCAAATTTTATACGCTCTCTATGTCAGATTTGATATTGTTTGTGCGTGTAGCTACAGGAACATGTGACTGTGATGGTCCATGAGTATTTGCCTTCCAGAGAGACATTAGTGAGGATGCTTTAATTTGAAAGGGATAATATTTTCAAAGATGACCAGGCGGCTGTGGGAGCTGTGTTTTTTGCTCTCTGGCTATCAACTCTAGCAAAAAATCGGCGAGATTTTAAGGGCAGGAAAGAGAAAGAGCTAAGAAAGCAAAGCGATGTCTTAACTTGGGCAGGAGATTTACTTATGTCTGCATTTAATGCGTTAAATCTGTATTTGCGGGGCGGGAAAAGGCATTGCTCCAGTATCCAGGGTTTGAAATCGAAACCTCCTGATCCGCCCCTCATGATCTGTTCCATTCAATTTCCCATGGAGCAGATTGCAAACCCCTCTATTGTCACCCTTCCACAGATACACACTTATTAAATGTAAGGAAATGGCAGAATAATAATTTCCCCGTAATGCTCTGCAATTAGGGCGTTTGCAGGGTTTAGACAAGGCTGCAGAGCTGTAATTTACGGATGACGTTCCATCGGATTGTTATACTTCTAGTTTAGAGAAAGTTATGCCTTGCAAAGTCACTAGTTACACACATTAAGAGAGTTGCTTAATCTTTAATTGGCCTTACGCTTAGACATGACACTCTACACTCAAGTATTTCTTTCAAAGGATTAGGTAAACTATATTTCAATGCGCAGAACGCCACTTGCCATGCCTAAAGTAAAACAAACTCGCACGCATTAATCCCCCAAACACAGCAGAAAAATAATGTGCGCAGATAAGACCTCTTTCTTGATTCCCAGCGATTATTCTCCATGACATTTTCCCTCCGAAAACGATTAGGACCTGGGAATATTTTGGTAGAGTTCGGCAGTCTGGGTTGTTTGAATTTCAAATTTCAAAGCGGATTAGAAAATCTTAATGCGTTTCTGGATTTGAATGGCTTCAACTGTGCTGCTTAGGACAGGGTAGGGCCAGAAATATGGAGAAGTTGCCATTTCTAGCTAACTTTCTTTTGTTGCTAGAGAGTTTCTTGCAGTACGGGCGGGTTTATATGCTTGTGGGTTTGGGGATATTTTTCTTTTCCGTAGTTCTTTAATCTCTGTACACTGCTTTACGTAGAATATGCTCCAGAAGCCACATTCAAAAATGTGAAAATATGTAGCAGCAAATCTTTTCGCTTTAGACAATGAAAAATTAAAATCCGCTATGATATCCAGGTTCCTAAAATATTAGTCGAACGGGTGTGCGTGTGTGTTTGTATGTTCACCAGATAATTCAAATTAGGCAGTGTTGTTGAATATTGAGTAATCGCGAACGGTTTGTGTCTAGTATCATTCCCGTTTACAAGCGAAGGATTTTCCTTGGAAAAGGACCCGTATATAAATGAAGCCCAAACTTTTAAAGGGTTTTCATGCCTTTGCCTCAAACTATAAAATTTTATGGCATATAATATAATATAATATAATACACGCCTATCATACATAACTTTCTGGTATTCCTATTGACGAAAATGTGACAGCTAGTGTACTATAAAATCTCCAGCTGTTTATTACGGAAATTATTTTCAAATGTGCATTTGGATATGCACTTTTAAAGCCTTTCCCATTTTTTTAATAGAAAGTATATGCATATGTGTTTGTTCTGTGTTCATAGGAAGATACACAGACACAAAGGCTTCGGACTCCATTTATCTTACACAGGGGGTTGACTCTAAATATTAAATATTTGTAAAACTGTGAGATCTTTGAGCTGAGCCAACCTTGTATACTACCGTTACTTTAACGTTAAAGGCAAATAAATTAAAAATAAGAATCAGTCGGCAATGTGCAGACCTTGCAGAGGTACACAACAACCTTACCCTCCTGTCCCCCTGTGCCCTTCTCTCGTTTTTGCTCGCAGTAGCAGATACAGTTTAAACCGCAATATTCAAACGGGATAGCACTAGCAAAATAAAACAAAGCCCATCTCCCAGCTCGCGTCAAACCACCCCGGTCTTTTGCAAACCCGACTTTAGGACACATGAAAGAAAACAATGCGATCTGCTGAATCCCTGCTACTCCAGACCTGAGCAGAGAAAGAGATACTCACAGCTGGTTTGGAGATTTTTTTTTTTTTTTTTTTTTTTTTTGGAGGCAATTCTCAAATCTCTTCCTAGCCCCCGACTAGTCGGTCTGCACCCCCGAAATCACTCGCCTAAGTAACAGCTCTAAGGGTAAGGATCAGGCCTTAATGCTACCCAGAGAAAGACAGAGTTCCTTTCACCCTTTCATTCAAGTCCTGGAAATTCAAAGACTAAAGTTAAATCCGGCCATAAAGTTTATTGCTGAGTAATCACACTCTAGTGAGAACAGTCCACTTAAATAAAAAGAATGTTGAAGTAAACACGCAGCTGGGGCCTACCCCACAATGGCAGCCAGCAATATAAGGCAGAGAGGGAGAGAGCAGAGCTAGGGGGATATTTACAATCTTCAATAAACCAAGCCCGTATTTCATAATTTGCAGCACTCTAATGACCTGTAGTCTCTTGTATTAATGCTACAAGTTACAGTCAATTGGTTCGCTTAAAAAAAAAAAAAAAAAAAAAAGCCACAGGAACGTATATATGTATACACGCATACACACCCTTTGTATACATAAATACACTGATATTAGACACACATATGCATGTGCACAGCTTTATACAGGCGTATACATCGATTTGTACATGCATGCACACACACACGTAATTTAAATATATTTATATTTATGCAATTACATATAGGATCTGGAAAAAGTTACAGCAACGTTATAAATGCGCTTCCCCGAAACACACTACGCGCTCGCAGATGGACATATATACATAGCTAAAGCTTTCTGCACAACCCAATGCAGAAAATAGGAATCTTAAGCGCTCCAGTACAGTCTGTGCCATTTTAGTACTAGCTCTGATGTGCAACATATTTCACCAATCCAAAGATTATTACCACATCAGCACGCCTCCAACTCTATCATGCCTACATAAGACACTGCCCCGATAATATCAAGCCCTATCTATTTTGTTTCCCCTTTTTTTAATCGCCTGCAGTAACTACTCTTTGCTAAACAAAACCTCTCCAAACTTGGAGAGTCTATTGGAGCAAAGGAAGTAATTATGTTCTGCGGTAGTCAAAGTGATTAAAGCTAGGCCCCAAAATCCATCTCTGCCAAAGTCGCTTATTGTGGTTTACTTTGATTTGATCGTTAAAATAGAGAGCTAGCTGCTGCGAGTGAAGGGATGGGGGGGATTTGCAGCGCAACCTGGATCATTAGTGGTTGATCCTGCCTCTCGGGCTCGGTGGGACCGTCCTGAAAAGCTCCAGGCGGAGAGGAAGGGGAAGAGGAAGAGAAAGAAAGAGAGAGGCGAGAGCCAGCGAGAGCGAGTGGGAGCCTCGGCTTCCCCACTGTACAAATAAACTTTAAGGAACTTGTGCACAAAACTTACCTTTGACTTGCAAGGAGCCATTTTTCATACAGTATTGAGAACTTGTGGTTTGGATACTTCTGTCCCTAAACCTGACAATTTGAATGGCCAGGAGGCACACGTAGCCTGCAAAAGAGTCAAATGAAGTCCAGCGTCAGTGAGATTATATGTTATGTGGTATATAATGTTGGATGTCAACTCCCCAAAACCATAAAACTTACTTTAATGGCACCACGTGACTTTTTATAGCCAGTGAGCCTATCTGTCTGTGCTATGGATGATTTTACGATCTAATTCATAGACAAAACCCTATTCATTTGGCACCCAAATGTCATATAGCCGGAACTGGGGTTTATAAAGTTTACTGTTTTATAACTTTTAAGGGAAGGCATCAATGTAACCAGGCAGTAAATGTGCAAATCTTTAGTTGCTCTTAGAAGCTCGGAAGAGTTAACCATTCAAGCTCTGACGGGGTAAGTAACATTACGTTTATAGCAAACTAATTGTAGCGAAGAAAACCAAAAATCTTTAAAGGCTGAAAAGTGGGAATGTGGCTAGCGAGGGTTACTAATAGACGCAGAGGGCTCGGACGTGGCTGTCCTGCAAATATACTTAATGGAACCACAGGAGAAATTCTAGAGCCATGCAAACACGCCTTGGAGTTAGCAGCGTGTTTTAACAAAGCACATGTTTTTGTTGTTTTTTTTTTTTTCCAACCATCAGCAAACAGCTAACAGTTGATTTACCCACAAAGGGTGTTGATTGTGGTCCTGCGATGCAGCTTTCCACCTAGCGAGAAACCAGTAAGGAGGAACTTATGGTCAAACTTTCAATTAAAAATACTGATAGCGGACAATCGCAGCATCTACCATTTCCAACGTGCAGCAGGAGCCAGGTAAAATATTATTACAAACTCTGCACGGGTTAATATTTTTTTCAGAGGCAAATCAGGAAGCACAACTTCTTGCTTTGCACAAACCAGACCACGAAAACTTTACAATAGAAAGTTTATTTTTTTTTGTTGATTTCCAGTCAGTTTTTTTTAAAAACAAATACAAAAAAAAAAAAAAGCTGATCACAGTTTGCTCAAACAGCCAGACTTTGACTATATTCGTAACTTTGTTCACAAAAAACATACATCACAGAAGCTGCGCTTAATAAGAGCCACTTCTAAGAGTTCGTGCAAAGAGTCATATACAAAGGCACAGCAAGGACATACTGCTTGGAATCACAGTTTTCGTCACAGATTCACTATTCACTACACGTAGGACAAGTTCAGTTGATTTCATCATTTCACCTCTACAACAGCATTAATTACACAGGAATTATATAGGTAGTTTGAATAAAAATATTTTTAACAGCTTGGAGCTATACAGACATTAACACTTGACCACACATGCACAGTTAAGCAGGTTGAGTGCAACACATAACATTTGTACTAAACCGGGGGAGGGTTTCTTTCTCTCTCTCCTTTTTTTTACCTTCTTTTTTTTTGTTCTTTTTTGTTTTGTTTTGTTTTGTTTTGTTAACAGTTACTTCAAGTAACACAGCTCGCTTCATATAAATAAGTTAAAACATCTATTATTTTTTTCAAGACAAAGCCATTCAAGACAAAGAAATGTACGATAAAAGCAGATCTACTTATACACGCGAGAGAATGGTAATAAACAGGCTCATGATTAAAAGATGAATAAGGGCGACAAGAACAGGGTTTCTTCACAGAAGTAACACAAGGAAGTTTTAGAAAGTCAACTTAGTACTGACATGAGACGCAGGGTCAGCTAATACTGCTCAGTACTTTTAATTGATCAAACGCTTAGGGACGGAATGCCCCTCCTGCAGCTGCCATGCTCATACTTTTCAGCTTATTATCCTTTTTCCATTTCATTCTCCTGTTTTGGAACCAGATCTTTATTTGTCTCTCTGAGAGGCAAAGAGCATGTGCTATTTCAATCCTTCTTCTGCGGGTCAGGTATCTATTGAAGTGAAATTCCTTTTCCAGCTCCAAGGTCTGATAGCGGGTGTAAGCAGTCCGAGCCCTTTTCCCTTCTGGTCCCCCTATGTTGTCTGGAAGAGAAAAGTACATGATTTAGATTCTCAGCAGCCACTCGGAGCCTTCGTGTCTTATTGCAGCTACCAGCGACCAGGACCGTTATTCTCAGTCCTGCTTGGTTTTGTTTCTGGTTTGGATAAACGCTCAACAAGTTTCCCCCTCCAGCCCCTTTTAGGAAAGGCTTGGGGGAGGGGGATTTGGTGGTCTCGGTAAGTTTTCGCTTGGATTTGGGATTCGATTTTTTTAAATTGATTTTTTGGGGGGTTTTTTTGGAGGTTTTTTTGAAGGCTAATCCCCCCCCACGCCTCCCCCAGATAAGCTGTTTTGGAGGATGCCTCTGCTGCTAGCCGGGTTTTCAGGGCTGGGAGAGCAAAGCTGAAGCGTGCAGCCCTTTCCCACGGCTGAGCTGGGGAAGGCTCTGGGAGGCAGCGAGCCCCCGGCTGCTCCCCCAGCAGCGAGGGCAGGGCAGGTACCCGGGGCTGAAAGTTGCTCCGCTTCCCCGCGCCCCTCAAGCCCTCTCCCCGGAGTTTGGGGCGACTCCCCCCCCCTCCCCCACGGCTTCCCAGCAGTGAAAACTGCCCTCCTCGCCCTCTCCTATTCTCTTTTTAATACGGCTCGGCAAAATAAATGG